TGGAAAGTAAGGTTATTTAAGATTATATGGTGCTTACGTGATTCAAAAGAATTAATGCATATCTCAAGGTATTTAATTATTCCCAATGATAAATGCACACAGGAGAATTTAAATAGCTGTATTGGAATTTGAATATAACTTGACCTAAGATACAGTGTAACTTAGATATTTGCATGTACCTGGACCGGTAATGATTTACCAGGCCTGTGGAAGGGACAGCCCAAGGCAGCCAGGTTTAGACCCATGATCTTGTCTCCTCCTCCTCTTTGTAGCTCACTGGGTCAGGAAAATACCTGTTTCTAGGGTGGCTCATTCATAGGATGCCCCATGTCTGCTTTAAAATGAGCTGGGCCATCAGATGATCTCGGCATTCTGAACTGAGAAATACTAAGACAGAGAGGGAGTTAGCAGTTACAGAACCTGAAAGAGTGTACCAAGAAATGCCAAGAAGGAAGAGTCCAGCCTATAGTTTGAGGGGGCAGGAGCCAGACAGAAGCCAAGGTGCCCTCAGAGGGAGGAGAGAGACCAAATGGCCCAGAAGAGGCAATGAATGGCCTTAGGTCCCAAGAACTCTCTGGGTCCAAAACCTAAGTTACAGAAATCGTTACTATAAATCTCCTTTTATTTTAATAAACTTGAATAAGTCTCTGTTCCTTACTGTTAAAACTACCACCCTAAATTGATTAATACACAGAAATCTTCCAAAGGATCACGATAAGCCCCATGAGGATAGAGACCACATCTGAGTTATTCGCCACTCTATTCCCAACACCTCATTAAGTGGGAAGCATGGACTAGATTAGAAAATATTTGTTGAATTAATAAATATACTCTCTGATCAACCGATTAATAATTATGGAATAATTTTTAAATTTTACTTTTATCTTTTACTTTAAACATAAATATATCTAAAACTATAAATGTGTGACTATGAGGAGACTGTAAAGATTGTAAAAAATTTACAATCAGCATTAATAGAATTAACTGTTTCATAAGCTGGCTTTTAACTTTAGGCTATTATTATCTATATGAAAAGGTTATCAAAATAGGGCTTCAGTGAAGTATGGATTTTCTGAAAATAGGAGCCATGTGTCATACTTAGAATTAATTCGTAAATTAAAGGAATATTCTTTTTCCTATTTACATCATTATATATTTGTTACATGAAAGTGTACAAATCCCTGACTTTTATATATACAGATGGCAGTACTGGTTACTCTATTTCCAGATTATTTTAGTGATGGATTTGTGCTGACCATCCACAGTGTTTCTTTCCTGGTCTCTTACGTGACCAGAAATAATGTTTCTGAAAGAGAAGTAAATAGGGTTAGAACATGCTGTCTGTGACCAAGGAAACAAGCAAAGCAAAGCTAATTCTTCAAATTGGAATACTGTTCCATAGTCACAGACAATGGAATTGATCCCGGAGAATCAAGCTCGTTACTGCTTGGATCTGGACGTATCAGCGGTCATTTGTGTGACCTGGAATACACATAGTGACAAGGGAGGCTTTAAGACATCAAGGACAACTCTGTCTCTAACTTCCTTTGTGGAAGAGGATTGATACTATTTGTGATGCTCTAAGATGATCTATAGAAAATAGGCCAAGTAACATACATGTCTAAAATCCAGACAAAAATATCATTGGAACAACTATATTTTCAAATATATTTATACTGTCTAAGATTTTTCTGTCATTGTACAGGAGAAAGATTTGAAATCACATGAATATGAACTAAATAGAGACAGAGCACAAAGATGACCATGAGTGAAGGTAGCTGGAGTTTTGAGGGTTCTTGAACTACGTAGACTGTTACTTTTATGTAACATGCAAGTATATTCAATTCAAACACATAATACTATCTGTAATTATTATGTACCTATTATGTACCAATTGTTTCGCATGTACTATTGCTATTCCTTACAATAAACCTGAGACTTATTCTCTATATAACTTTTAGTGTTATTTTCTTCTTTTTGCATTTGGGTAACTTACAATGGTTATACAGCTAACAAATAAGCCAGTTAACATTTAGAATCTAAAGTCATGCGTGGTGGCTCATGACTGTAATCCCAGCGACTTGGGAGACTGAGGCGGGAGGATTGCTTGAGTTCAGGAGTTCAAGACCAGCCTGGGTGACAGAATGAGACCCTGTCTCTTTAAAAAAAGAAGAGGAATCTAGATGCTGTTGGCTATGATTATTATACTCTTTTCACTCAGTTACACAGTCATAATAGTTGAGGCAAAGAAAGTAAAAAGGTAATTGGTTGTGCGTTCTTTTTTCCTCATGTGAGAACTTATCTCAGTGTGCTCTAGAGCTGTGGTCCCCAACCCCGGGGCCACGGACAGTACCGGTCCATGGCCTAATAGGAACCGGACCACACAGGAGGAGATGAGCGGCAGGTGAGCAAGCGAAGCTTCATCTGTGTTTACAGCTGCTCCCCATGGCTTGCGTCACTGCCTGAGTTCTGCCTCCTGTCAGATTAGCAGCAGCATTAGATTCTGCATTATGGCGAGTTGTATAATTACTTCATTATATATTACAATGTAATAATAATAAAAATAAAGTGCACAATAAATGTAATGTGCTTGACTCATCCCAAAACCATCCCCGCCACCCTGGTCTGCAGAAAAATTATCTTCCAGGAAACTGGTTCCTAGTGGCAAAAAGATTGGGGAACCACTGCTCTAGAGGGAAAAAAATTTCAGGATCAATAACTGAATATGTTTTAAGTGAACAACAAAATATTAACCTTTTGTTAATCACAGATGCCTACAAAGAAGTGATGTCAATAGAATGATTCTGAAATAGAAAGAATATACATCTTCCCTATGCTCAAATCTGTGGTTACCCTCAGTGATTCCAATTTTGAATCATTCTTTGTGGAAATTCAAGAAGTTAAATCCATTGGGAATACCAATAAATATGAATCAGCAATAAGGTAATTATTTAGGTTTACATTGACTGACAGACATAAAGAGGTACCGTTTGATCAAGGCCTGTAAAATTCATGCTTTCAAGTTGACATCTAGATTGAAAGGATAATCATTTGTTCAATCAGTCTTCTAAATGCACGAATATAAAAATGGCAAATCAAAGCCCAAATGGAAAATACCTATCACTCTTATGGGGAATAAAAATATATAGGAAGAGTGAATGAAAAATGGTTGAAGGAGCCAGGTGGTCATGGTCTGCCTGTGAGAGAGTAGACTTTGGCCCCAGAGGAAAGACAGGAGGGTTGTGTCTACACGGTTGACTACATGGAAAGGGTCTGCACTTGCGCCATGGGACCCCAGAAATTGAAAGTAGGACCAGTGAGTGGAATCTACAAAGAGGCCAATTTGTTGTGGAAATGGAATGGCTGCTTTGAAAGATAATCAGGGTCTCCGTACATTTGAAGTACCTCCATAGAGGCTGAATAACCACCATCCAGAAAGTTCTGTGTTGCATCACAGGCACCAGGTGGCAGATAGCACAGGACTTCCCAGATGTCTCAGCTATAGCATTCATGTATACTTCTGATGCTTATAAGCCTGAGTCTTTTGCTATTCTTGCTATATTTTGAATCTGAACAATGAATATGATTTATATGATCCTCTTCACCTGAATTATTTGTGTGTGTGTTGTTTTGGAGCCTGCGTGTGTGTGTGTGTGTGTGTGTGTGTGTGTGTGTGTGCGCGTGCGCGCGCACGTACATATAGGTGATATTTAATACTTGGCTGTCTTTAAATAGCATGTGCTTTGGTCCTGTGCATTTGTTGTTGGTTCAGATTCTTGTTGTGCATTCTTTAGAAATACTCTATTAAAACATTTTGGTAGCAAAAGAGTGAAGATTCTGCTTTGTGATGTTACTATTTTTGGATTAGAAAAATTGAACTTTGATTCATAGCAATATAAATGCATGAGTAAATATTTTTTAGTTTTAGGCCCACTGTCCTGCATAAATGCTCACTTAACAACAGGCTCAGAAAATAACTACTTACAAATACAAAGGAAAATATGAACTACTCATGTTCCTCTTGGTTTACAAATGCTTAATGGTTTTGCTTTAAGGCACGTGCTGTAAATTGCTGCCACAAGTTCAGTGTCTCTGGACCCCAGAGTAGGTAGTAGTAGTAAATAAAAAGCTCAGCAGTATCTTTTTTTTTTCAAATCAAGTAATCATGCGGTACTCTATAATTTTATTCTTGGAAGCGTAAAGAGTGTTTACAATATGGTGTCTTTCTAGGATCAGAATAGTGGGGGGAAAAATGGAAAAATGTCCAAACATCTTTGCATGGCAATGATGGCATTACTGGTGTGTTTAATAAAACCTTTATTGGTACATTTTCCGGTGTGGTGGCATTGGCAGAAACGGTCCCCCTTTGGATTTGGAACTCAGCAGCTGATGAAATACAGTAAACATTAATTTGGAGTGGGCTGCCAGTTTGGGAAAGCCAGGTGACATTTTATTATATTTGTACCGAGCAGGGGCTATGTCCCATACTGCTGTAGCTTCCGCTGTCAGAGGCTTAGCTGGCATTATGGAAAAAAAAAAATGGCAGGCCTGAGAATCTTATCCCCTGAAATGAAAGTCGAATGCCAAATTGAAATTCCTGTAGGATTTCCGATAGCAATGGGGGAATTGAGAAGCCCACAATTAAGCATATGGGCATTAAGATAATTGTCAGATCTGTTGGCGGACATGATAGAAGACAGATGGGTACGAATCAGTGCGCTCCACTGCAGCACCCTGGGAGACAATTTGACGTTTTACCTGCCTGAGATACTCTGCCATATTTGTCACTGAATGTACAGCTCGGCATCTTACTGAGTATTAAGTGTTTTCGCAGGGAATTAGAGGTGCATGTGCGGTCCTTCAGCGCCCTCTAGTGAAATGCATTTGGGAGGATTGTTTTTCTAAGGCCAGTTTTCTTTCACCAGGTCCTTGCTGCCCCTGGAAATAGCTTTCGCACCTCTGGTTCCCAATAAACCCTGTGGTCCCTCTCACCCTTTCAGGTTGGGGCCCATCGTGAAGATGGCGTGGCCCTGAGAGGCAGCCATTCTCTTCTGCCGAACCAGGTGCCCGTCCCACAGCTTCCTGTCCAGTCTGCAACTTCCCCTGACCTGAACCCGCCCCAGGACCCCTACAGAGGTAGGTCTGCCTCGGAAGGGCACTTCTGACCTCTCTTAAACAGCAATAGACCCCATGTTGATCCCCAGCTTACTTGGCGTTTGTCCCTCCGGAAGCACTGGCAGAAAACCAAAGAATCAAATTTGGTACCAAAATGGTAAGTAAATGGGAAAGTATGTGGAACTCAGCCTGCTAATTGTGTTTCTTCAATAACTGTTTTCCTCAAACATCCTCTGAAATCCTGGTCCTATTTCAGCAGGGAATGAGGCAACAGACTGATGAGAGGAAATTTTATTTTCGCTATTTCCACATTTTTCTCATTCAGGTCCTCTAATGTGGTTAGTCGTGGCCTGAAAATGATATTTCCAAATGAATAGGAAGGAAGGAAATTGTTCTTGTTGTTTAAGATGGAAGGAAATGTAGGTACATTTAAAAAATGGAACTTGGTTGGGTGATTTTCACTCTTGAGTCACCCAGCCCCGTAATGATCACCTCATACCAGTGACCACGAGCAGCTTTTCGTGACCCAGGGAAGTTGTGCCACAGGGGCAAGACCTGGGTCCCAGGCTCCCTGTGCTGTCTGCTGGCCAGCCGACCAGAAGTCACTCAAATAACATCTCATTCCCTTCACATTTAAAATAAGAATGATAGCACTGCCACATGAATACATATAAACAGTATTTCAACTGTTAAATGTTACACAAATCTGAGTATTAATTATATATATGGCTATGTCTGCCCTTTTTTATCTAAAGAGTAATAATTTGATCACCCTTTTTTTTAAAGAGCCTCTTTGTTTTGCTCTCTTTGTCCTAGATCTGTGCTTCTCAAACTGTAATGCGCATAAGCACAACTTGAGGATCTTGCTAAAATGCAGGTTCTGATCCGGTAGAGCTGGGGTTCTGCATTTCTAATGGGCTCCCAGGTGACAAGGATGCTCCTGGCCCATGGACCAAATTTTGAGTGACAGGGTTCTAGAATACACAGATTACAAATAGAGGGAAATACTCAACCTGCATGCTTCTACCTTAGAAATACATTATTACATTAGGGCTATGTTTTAAAATGTGGTGTGATCTTGAAAAGTTGAGAAATATATATTTTAAGCTTGAAATTTCTTCACTGAGCAGTGAACTACCTTCCATATGTACCATTTTTAAATGCTGATTACTCCTTGAGAATAAGAGAAGCTTAATTTTGGAATATCATTAGGGTATCTATTGAAGTCTTGACTGAACATATTTAGCATACTCCCTGGGAATTATATTTTAAGGACATTTTTCTATTAAATCATTGCATATGGAAGAAACTCAATATAATAGCTGATATTTACTTGGGTTCTTAATCAGAACATTGAGGTGTGTGATTTTCATGATTATGATTTTCATTGCAATTAAGTTGATGTTTTGTAGACAGTGAAATTACCATCTACTCCAAAAGATTGCAAAATAGAATTTAACCTTAGAGCCAATGCAGGGAAAACTTGTTTCTGCAGGTGCATTTTTGAAACATCACCAGATAGCAGGAAAAAAGTGACAGAAGGATCACAGTTCAGCAGTATGACTTGTCTAGCTGGCAGCTTTGCAATCTGGGGTGTAGGCATCGAGTTTTTGGTGTACCTGTCACCTGGTTTCTTTTTTTCTGTAGGCATGCCACCAGGACTACAGGGGCAGAGTGTCTCCTCTGGCAGCTCTGAGATCAAATCTGACGATGAAGGCGATGAGAATCTGCAAGACACGAAATCTTCCGAGGACAAGAAATTAGATGACGACAAGAAGGATATCAAATCAATTACTAGGTCAAGATCTAGGTAACAGTATATAATACTGTCGCTTCATTTAATTCCTTTATTGGACTTTGATGAAGTGAACAGAACAGGAAGAAACTATTCAGTTTTTTCCTGGCAGGTAAATCTACAGCTGAAAAAAAAAATTAAAGGCCCAATCTAGAAGTACTAAAAGTATCCTTTAAGATACCTGTACTCTAGTGAAGCCTGAAATGTCTTTGCATTTATGAATTTGGACCCAATGCCAGCGACACACACTAAAAACAATTTGTAACTGATTCAAGTGCAAACGGTTTATTTTCAAAACTATACTTACCCTACAAATTTGGTCAGAAATGTTCTTTTCTAAAATATTTCTAAAAAGAGATCATAGCCGTGTTAAAAAACTCAATTGGTATATGTACAACTGTTACTTTTTTCTTACCTTTAAAGTAAGAAAATAGTGATTTCCCAGCTTTATCCTAAACGTGCTGATGTATATAAGAGTAATACCTAAATTGCTAATTTTTTTCCTCCCGGATACCACTTTCTACAGAAAACACAACTGCAGGAAAATAGCTTCTGGTTGGTTTGTTTTGAAATATCCATTATCTTTAAATTAAAATCTGTCTCCTTGTGCTTTAATCTGGTAATCAGATGGTTTTTGAAGACCTTGACACCATGTACTTCGCCTCAATTCCCTTGGGTTGTTTTTATTTGCAAAGTAAATTAACTGTACTGACACTATAGCATCCTTTTTAAAGGCTGGGTTCTCAATGTTCTATCTAATATCCTTTGTCGATTAAGAACACATTGGCGTTTCATGTTGCCCTTATAGTTATTGAGATAAATTACATTACATGACCTGCCACAAGTTCCAAAAATGTGAATGCTTCTAGCTTACCCCTTCTCACTAACCTTACAGAGTTTCCTGATTCTCGGCCACATTGGCAAGAAATCCCAAGGAGGGGATTTCACATCCTTAGTCAGTTCTTGGTAATTTAACTAGTGGCCATAACTTATGCGTATTAATGGATCCTTTGAAGTTTCAGAACAACATTTTAACTTGCTATTGAGAAGCTTCTTGTTTTAAAAGGTCACTCTTGTGGCATTTACTTACGTATGCCTCCAAAGCTGTGTCGTTAGGCAATGCTTTTCAAATCTAGGCAGTTTTATTTGCATAACCAATTTATTTATAAGCAGATAGCCAGTTCTAATTAGTTATTAGCCTGAAAACCTTTGGAAGACAAGTTCCCATTTTTAAGCCCGCTTTGTGTAAGGCATGGCACATCTTCGATGTATAAAAATGTTACCCAAATTTTTGGTGTCAGAACAGGCCCAGAAAGAGACTTGACTTCATTCTCTCTGACTTATTATGTCCTATTTGCATAGTGGAATATAGGAGTGAATTAATGGCAACCTTGATGTCCTTGGCATCAGCAGTGGTCACGGGGGGAGGAATCAGAACAAGTGAAAAGGATGAGGAGGCAGAGAAAGAGGGCCTCTTATGATTGCTTCAGTTGAGTTGCGTGATCACCGGCACACACCTGTAGCAGATAGTGACATCTGGAAAGACGTTGAAGCCATGGGGAGAAGATGTCTTACAGCAACTTTCTGTAGTGTGTTCTTCCTCCCCTCTAACTTCCCCTCTTCACAAGTGTTCTTGGCTACATACATCATCTTTATGTGCAACATGTACTTGCAACCCAAGAATGCCATTATCATATTTGATTGATTAGAGCTTCTCCAGTGTAGTCGGTCCTTATTACGATTCAGAAGTTACCCAGAGATTCTCCAGAATGGGAAGTCAGAGCCATCCATGTTCAGCCAGCATTCATTACGTGTATGTTGCATTGACTAGATAACGTGCCGTGTCTTCCAGCTCTGAAATGATGTAATTAATCATCTTTGTTCTGTGAACATTTCAGATGTGTGAACTTTTACAGCAAAGGTTAACCTTCGTGGTCCTGCAGATTGACGATTTAATCTCTAGGCTAACGTCATTACCAGTTGTCACCTACAGATTGTTTCTTGTAATGGGGAGTCTATTGCTTTTCAGTGACATTTACTTTATGTTTTATGTCTTGATATCCAAAAAATTTTCTTGTTCATGTTAATTAGCAATAGGCATTATTTGTTCTTTGTTCTGTTCTGCCTTCTTGAGACATCTTCCATATCTCTCTTTTTTTATGATAACCCTTGAAATATTTGAAACCTGCTGCCATGAAAACTTTCCTCATACGATGTCCTTTCCAGATGGCTCATCATCCAATTTCCTTCCATTAGAAAGTTTCTAATTTGTCACTGTGACACCCAGAAATGGACAGAACCAATCTGATCTTTTCAGACTATGTTGGGTCCCACTATCCCTCTATTACAAATCATAGAATATATTGGTTATCACACTCAGAGATTAGCTTTTGGCTTCATTTTTGACTCACAACAAGGTCATGGTCATTTATAATCGGTAGATGTTTGGTTTTTGTATTATTTTGCATAGCTGATATCAATTCCGCTGTCCCCAGCTTGTTCTGGAAATCATAAATGTCTATAACATTAAAAACCATAGAAATCATGTTATATTATAAACATGTTAAATATAAACGTTATATTTAACACATAGAGAAAAATGAGGCTCAGATAGAGTAAGTGGATTGACCAGGCCTTCGAAGCAAAGTAATGGTGACACCTGGACAAAAGCCCACTGTCCTTGACTGCATTGCTCTGGTGTCTTAAATGTAGGACTTTCTTCTTACTCCTGTTAAGCTGCCTTGTGTTTATTTTGACCTATCAAAATCTTTTTTCTGTCACTTGTTTACCCTAGATGTCAGATGTGACAGTATGAAAGTTTTTAAAAGAAATGTTAGGTATAAACAGTCTTTCTGAAGTGTGGTGATGCAGTATAGGCTACGTGTAAGTTGGCCAAGTCCTGCTTGGCAGGATGTAATTGTATCTATAAAGCTTTGTTTCCCCTTTTCAAGTCCCAACATTAGTATATGCACACTCTGGGCCCTAACTGTAATGTAGAGCATCCTCACCTGTTTGGTTTAGGTTTAATGTCTGGGAGAAACCAAATATCTTTTGTATTAAGGACTATCACAGCCATCTCAATCAATCCCAAGGTCAAGTGGATATAAAATTCTGCCAAGGACGTGGCTTGAAATGGAAAACGTTTCCCTGAAAACTCTGGAAGAAAACAAAGTAATTTAAGTGCCTTCTTTTTCCCCACACCATTAGAAAATGTTGCATCCCTTTTTGCCCCGCAGCAATAATGACGATGAGGACCTGACGCCAGAGCAGAAGGCGGAGCGTGAGAAGGAGCGGAGGATGGCCAACAACGCCCGCGAGCGCCTGCGGGTCCGCGACATCAATGAGGCTTTCAAGGAGCTCGGCCGCATGGTGCAGCTCCACCTCAAGAGTGACAAGCCCCAGACCAAGCTCCTGATCCTCCACCAGGCAGTGGCTGTCATCCTCAGCCTGGAGCAGCAAGTCCGAGGTCAGTGCAGGGCGGGTGGCCTGCGTGCAGAGCCCCCGGGGAGCTGGCAGCGGGAGTGGGCCAAGGTGGGCACACCAGCCTTGGTAGTAGCACATAGTTGACTTTTGAGCATCATTCCCAGTAATTGTTTCGATTGCAGACCCTGTGAAAATCAGTAAGGCAGTGTCCCTTTCTCCTGTCATTAAGTTATAGGATGCTCTTATGAATAAGACTACACTGTGACTTTCCGTATGCACTGTAAGCAATCAAAGCTTAGTTTGTTGGCTTTGCCAGCCTTTTTACACTGTAGAGTGGCTGTACCGATTCACCATGCAGTTCAACTTTTACTACTGACTGACCAAAAGAATCGCCGTGGTGTGCATTGACTAACTGTTCTTTCTTTCTGTAATGTAAAAACGGAGAAAAAGGGTCAAGCACGCAGGTTGCATTACTGCCTCTGGGAGAAGCCTTGGCATTAACTAAATGCCCTGCGCTTTAATCCCCTACAGAAAGGAATCTGAACCCGAAAGCCGCTTGTCTGAAAAGAAGGGAGGAAGAGAAGGTGTCCTCGGAGCCTCCCCCACTCTCCTTGGCCGGCCCACACCCTGGAATGGGAGATGCATCAAATCACATGGGACAGATGTAAAAGGGCAAGTTGGTTTTCAGCTGTTTCTGAAATCATTCATTCGTAACTCTCACTGCCGCGTCAGCCATAAAAGTCC